TACCTGGCAACTTCAAGAGAAGATATAAGAGAAGCTCATACGATTCTGGCGTATTGTTTTTACTGACTTGCCGTGCTCACTGCACGTGTACACCTCAATCCACATATAATGTCTTAACGCAAAGTGGTTTACTGTCGTTTCTTTCAATTTTGGCTCATTTTTCCAAACCGAAATTATAAGTCACGCTCAATAGGATATAATTTCAACTGATGCCGACAGCATGCACTTCATCTGAAGAAAAAAACACTCCCTATCTTCGAGAATTTGGTCACAACATCAAGAACAACGATGAAGGTCGTACGCTGTCTGAAGATACCACTGACTAGTATGTGTGTAGTTGTGAGAACACCGTCCAGAGATCCAGACTTCGTCAATTCTTCCCCACCTAACCACCCCCTGAACTGGTCTTTCAATCCATTGAAGAAACTCTTTTACAGCCAGTGCTAAAGAGTTTTATTCAGTTTTTATTCAGTGTAACGTAGGGCTGGAAAATAAACTAACAAGAGCTCCGCTTTTAGGCTTGGCTAAATCTATATATTATGGACCCGCACATAAGGTCTTGTTTTATCTTTGGCAGTCGAGGATTGATTTTCAGTTGATCATTAAGTACATTGCTGTTCATGTGCGACATTTCTGCGAAGGTGTTCGAATTGTTGTTCTGACAGCCCATGTTTAATTTCAGGAAAACAGATTCAATAATACTAAAAAAGCTCAGGTCGTAAGTCCTTGATGCCTTTCGATAGGCGTAGTACGCTTTACCGCTTTAACTCAAAATTTTCCATTTGTTTCGATGCATGGAAATAAACACGAAAATTTGGTGGTGGAAACTTGAAGAGGAATGTAATCTTTGTGATTTCTGTTTCCTTTCTTTGGCTTTGTAATATTCATCGGCATTGCAAAAGCCACCTTTTGATATTTAGCCCGCAACCCGACATTCTTTGGCATAAAATAATTCTCTAAAACGAATGTTAGAGGAAGGGAAGAGATTAGCTCTTCTCTTTTACGTTCAAGATGAATTTTTTTGATTGACTGAGGGAATGTAAGTCTCCAATACCATTTTGCACGAAACCAACAATAAAGACCCGAGGTTATCGACAAGAACAAGAACAACAACCTCAACAACAACAACAACACTTTGTTCGGACCAAGTAAACCAGAATTATAAAGAGCGATCTTCATCCAGGCTCTAGCGTTAAAATCAATATCCGAGAATAAAAATACCAACAACTGATTGAAAAATGACAAAAAAGAAGATGTTGTGCTACATTTAGTGAATGATAGATCTGAAATCTACCAAATTAGATTTAGAAAACAAATACTTGAAATGAAAAATGCTAATAAATCTGTAAGTGGTACGTCATTTATATGGAACGATGATTACTCCAGTTATGTACAAATCTGTGTGAGAGTATTATAAGGCATAAACATTGAAATAGTTGAATAGTCTCTTTTAAAACTGCATACGAGAGGTATTAATTAACATGTTCAAGGACATAAGAATGATTGTAGAAACATGGTAAAATCAGGAGTATAAACAGGTAGGTAAATAAACTAAGGATAATCTAAACCTAGCTGTGTATAAATTTGTGATAAACAAAACATTTAACCAAACTTGTTCAAGGAAACATAACAATATAAAAAGCAGTAAAAGGGATATTAGAGATACGCCAGCAGAAAATCAGAGGTCTTCGAGATTGAGAAAGGGTATTTATACATGAGAGGTATTTCCTAACCTCCATACGTAAAAAAGCATGGAACTAGCTACTGCTACAATCGATTCATCGATTATATTATCTTAATCTTACAATTCACCCTCAAAGATAAACATCTTTTGCGTAGACTCTTCTTCCTTCATCTTTGTAACCCCCGGAATGTCCGTCAGGGCTTCTTCACAATGCCTTGTAAGTGATGGATCTTGAAAGGTGCTGAATAGAAAACTTCCTTTTGCAGTTTGATGGGCACTCATCAATTGATGGATCACGTGGGACTGACATAGCTTTGCGTCCCTAGCGTAGATGGTCGATGTCCACACCATGCCACGAACAAGCTGTACAAATCTTCCCAAACTAAAAGATGTCAAAGTTCTCGCAAGACCGTTTGACGAATCGACGAAATATCGATCCTGGTCTTGTACGATGAATTTGAAGTTGGCTGGGATAGCTTTAAACGGTTGCCAATCAATGACGAGCATGTTATTAGGAAAGAGAGAGCTGGTACTGGCGTTTTCCAGAATGCGTTTTTTAAACTCTTCCTTTGGGCAAGGTTGAAGTTTCGAACAGTTTTCTAACTTGTATTTCAAACTGACATGTTCTGGCTCAACTTTGTAGGTTAAAAAATTATAGTGGTACAGTTCTTTATCGCAGATGTTATGCTTTTGGAATGTTTTTCTCACTGCTTGATAAGCCCCAGACCACACCGTGTACCTGATACGCACAACTTTTGGGAATTTTTCCCGGATAAGCACAAGTGTAAAAGCCCTTAGTAAACCGAGTATACCATGACCTCTGTGATTAGGATCAATTCTTCCAGCTTCCATAAGCACTGATTTTTCCCCGTCGACGATGGAGAATTCTGCGAAACCAACTACCTCTGTCCCTTTTTCGGCAACCAAAGAGATTCTGTCGGGCTCCAGAAGCCATTTATGAAATCTGTAGGGGAGATAGTCAAACGCGTCTTTAAGTTTCTTAGACAGTTGAAGTACCTCGTCAAAGTCACTTGCTTTTGCAGGTCGCACAACCACTTTCCCTTCTTGCAGACAGGAAATTAGACGTTTGTTTGTCCATAAAAAACAATCTTTCCGACTAAACAGGGCTGCTGAAGAACCAAGACGGTGGAACAGTCTTGAACCCATGTTTGAATTGGTAAAAAACAGCACGTCAGTAACCGCCCTAATCGATTCCTTGATACGAACGTTCATGATCATTAGTTGTCTTCTAAGCTACTTAGAAACTTACTTCTTTTTATATTGGATACTTGCACACGCAGAGTTTTGCTTCTTACGTCAACAGCTGTAACAGGGAACGTCAATTCCTATAATGAGAGGTTAAGTTGTAAATACACCTAATTCCAAAATGGCAGCTGCCTCAGATTATCTGGGTCGAGTTGCATGAGAACGAGGGGACCACATTTAGTATCTAGGCAACCGAGCTCGATTCATCTTCACCTTAATCGAATAGCAATTATAATAAAGTTCGGATATAACGCGCGCTGTCATTGGTTGAT